CAAGTATCTTTAAGAGTTAGATATGATTTCCTGAATTTCGAGGACGAAATTCTTTTAAGGGGGGAAGAATGTAAGACCCCGTTGATTTTGATAATTCATACATGTGGATATTAGTGAAACGCAATATTCAATATGTGAAAAATATCTTCATGGCATGGTTGTGCATGAAATCTAGCATTTTTGAGCTTATGAGAATGTATATATGCATTAGTTATGAGGTTGAGTTTGCAAATTTGCAAATCATAAGCATCAGAGTCGAAGAACTTATGAGGTTGAGTTTGCAAATTTGCAAATCATAAGCATCAGAGTCGAAGAACTCAGTTTTCAGCTCATGATCGACCCATAACTGTCATGAGTCGACTCATGATATCATCTCCCTTAGTCATAAGTCTCTGCTGAGTCGACTCATAATCTTATGAGTCGACCCATGAGTCATGAGTCGACTCACGACTGAACATGAGTTGACTCATCGAGGGTTTTCTGGTTTTTCTGGGTCGGGTTTGTTTGGGTTTCGGGTCAGGTTTTAACTGTTTATATATATGCTCCTCTACCCGAAAACACTTCATTTTCATCAGTTCTCCCCAGAAACCCTAGTCCCCCTCTCTCCTCTCTCAAACCCTAGGTGTTCTTGGTGATTTTGGGACGTTTCAAAGGATTTTTTTATGCAGTTTCTTTTGGATTTCAGCGAAGGGAATCGTTCTTCATCACATCTGAGGCGAGTAACATCTCGCCCAATCTCTCTCCCATGCTTTTATGAATTTATAAACGTTTTTCATGAGTTTTATTGAGCCTAAGACATATTTTCAAATATAAAACGATGTTCTTATTAGTGTAATACTAAAGATCGTATGTTTTAGATTTTTAAACTCCCACCAACAAGTTTTTGATGAAAACCCAGATCTGGGAATTTATTTAAAGAAATAAAAATATGAGTTTTATTTTGATTAAATGCTCTTTTTTATGTTTAGGGGTTAAATGTTAGGTTTAACATGCAAGTAATCATTTCTCATGCTATGTATGAATTCTTTCACTGCCTCATAGTTTAGAATTAATAGTTAGGGAGGTGTAGATCAGTATAGTGGAAGTATGGATCGAGATGGACGAGTTGCAGTTGTGATATATGCAGATTTCAGCCCGTAAGTCGACTCACGACTCATCACGAGTCGACTCATCAGGTTGAGTCGACCCATGACTGTCATGAGTCGACTCACGAAGTCTAGTTGTGTTGCCTTTTTACTTCTGCTGAGTCGACTCGTCAGTATACGAATCGACCCATAAGTCATGAGTCGACTCATAACTAACCATGAGTCGACTCACGAAGTCATTTCCTGTTATCATATGTTTTCTGCTGAGTCGACTCGTAACAGATCATGAGTCGACCCATGAGACATGAGTTGACTCATAACTGAGCACGAGTCGACTCATCGAAGTCTTTCTTGTCTTATTTGTGTTTCTGTTAAATCACTGTGTGTGGCTTGTATATATATATATATATATATATATATATATATATATATATATATATATATATATATATATATATATATATATATATATTATATATATATATATTATATATATATATATATTATATATATTATATATAGACTGTGTTCATATGTTCGAGGTACTGTTTATCGTTCTTGAATATGAGAAGTTTCCTTGTTTATCAGCGTATTAAATTGTAGTATTTATATTTTCATTCATTTAGTCCTCGTGTTGGACATCCTTTTCATTTAGTCCTCGTGTTGGACTCTAATCCATTAAAGTCCTCGTGTTGGACTATAATCCCTTAAAGTCCTCGTGTTGGACTATAATCCATTAGAGTCCTCGTGTTGGACTATAATCCCTTAAAGTCCTCGTGTTGGACTATAATCCATTACAGTCATGTTTTAGACTTTTGCTAAACCTTGAGCATGACACGTAATCAAGTTGGGTACATGATATATTGTATTAGGCTGGGACATGATAGCTACCCAGGTTGTGCATGACACCTATTGTAGTTTTGTCATGTTTACACTTTATTGGTAGAGATGAGTATGTATTCTTTTCTTTATTGTTTCTTGTGACCAACCTCGGGTTTAGTATTTAGGGATCTACAATTTGAGATACAAGGTATATACATGAGGGTTTCCTTGTTTGGATTATTTCGCTCGACGTACCTATGCTCGGATTGTAATTCCCTAAGTACTAAAACCCACTATTGTTAGCATAAGTGATTTTATATTATTATGTATTAACTGTATTTTCATATACAACGAGCCCTATCCCTTGGGGTTGGTTGTGATGTTTCTCGCTAGCGCTTTGACGCTCGTTGTCCCTCCCCCTTTCAGGTAACAAGCCAGGAGCCCGGAGAGTCGCAGGTTGATGGCGATGTACTTTAGCTCAGTCGTCTATTTAGTTATATTTTCTTTTGAACTCCACTGTAGATTTTTTTTGTGTAGCCATGTGAGAGTTTTATTCTAGAAGTTATAAATGCTGTGTGCCTTATTTCCTCTTGTCAGACATTTTGTACTTAAGACTTGTTGAGAACTCCAGTTCATTTATTTCAGACATTTACTTGTATTCCAGTATATTAGATGATGAAATATTAATTTGATCTCCATTATTTCATCAGTTGACTCTTGTATAATCTATTACTTGCTTTGTACTACACCTGTTGTTGATTCCACTAGAGAGATAGTAATTGTGATGGTGAAACATGTTATTGCACGGTGTGGTGCATGGCAGGTTTGACATTTCTGGTTTCACCTCGGACTGCAGCCTTGTGTGAACCCAGGGGCATCACACATATCTTTTACTCTTTATTATGTACTGACCTGATATCATAATTAATTGAGACGATGTAGACATTACTGTAGAATTGTCCGGGATAAAGATAAAGGTGGAGAAGGATTGATCTCGGCCCAATTAAATATTAAACAAGAAGAAATAAAGGATACATTTTTTTGGATATTTTATAGTAAAGCTTAATTTTTTGAGTAAAATTTAGAATTTTTAAAAGAAATTTTCACGCAAAATTTTTAATATGCTTATGTGAATGCTTTTGATATATAAAAGTATACTAGAATTATCATTAATCTTTAGTGTTTATTTTTTTATTTTAAATCTATCAATAATTAAGATATCTTACAGTATTGTGAAAAGTATATGCTCTGTGCTAAGCTTATACAAACCATCTTAATAATAAGTATTTGGTTATATATTTATTAACACATCAACAATATATTATTGTATTTTTTCAAACTTAACACTACATTTAATAATAAGTATTTGGTTATATATTTATTAACACATCAACAATATATTATTGTATTTTTTCAAACTTAACACTACATTTTATGAATAAGATAAACAAATTTGAGATCGACGATTTAATCCAACAAACAAATATGTTACATGAAGTTTGATATATACAAATTTTTAAAAATAATGTTGTGTATGCAAGTATATAAAAGTATATTGATTCGAGTTTAACAGAAAAATCTATTTTACAAAATTTTAAAAATATTTAAATAAAATTTATGGTAAATATAATAATCCATGTTATAGATTTTAACTCCAATTGAATCTAACTTATTTTATATTAAGAAAATAAATAAATAATAAATCATTTTAATATTTAAACACGTGCATTGTACGTGCACAAAAACTAGTAAAACCAAATATCCAAGTTACATATTTATACGTGTTGTTCAAAAATCATTTTTTTAATGAAAGGGTTTATCTTCACCAAAAAGTTCTTCTTAATCCGATATCCCACATAATAAATATTAAATTAAATAATTATATTTCATTATAAGAAAATATTTGAATGTTTGCCCTATTTAACCTGGATTTAAATATATAAAAAATTGGCCTGCAAGTGAAGTGACCAAAGGGTGATATCAAATGGTCCTATTCTCTCCTCTACTCAAAGCAGCTGCCTGAGTTCTCCAGTCACAAGAGATGAAATTAAACAAGCCTTGTTTTCTATTCCTAGTGAAAAAGCTTGCCTGAGTTCTCCAGTCACAAGAGATGAAATTAAACAAGCCTTGTTTTCTATTCCTAGTGAAAAAGCTTCTGGACCTGATGGGTATAATGCCTCTTTTTTTAAAGCTGCCTGGAATGAAATTCAAGAGGATGTCTATCTAGCTACAGAGGAGTTTTTCAGGACTGGTAAGCTTCTTGGTGCTATCAACTCTACATCAATCACCTTAATACCAAAAATCCTTAACCCTAAAACTCCTTCAGACTATAGACCTATTTCCTGCTGCAATTGTGTTTACAAGATAATCTCCAAAGTCATTGCAAATAGAATTCAGGGAGTAATTGGTTTTCTAGTTAATGAAGCCCAAAGTGCTTTTATCAAAGGAAGGCTCATTACAAGTAACATTCTACTTGCTCATGATCTTATAAAGCACTATGGCAGAAAACACACATCCCCAAGAGCAATTCTTAATATTGATTTGAGGAAAGCTTTCGACACCATAAACTAGAATTTTATTCACTCTATGTTACTTGGTCTAGGTTTCCCTGTGACTATGGTTAAATGGATCATGGAGTGTATCACCACCTCCAAATTCTCTCTATCTCTTAATGGTACTTTGCATGGATACTTCAAAGGAGCTAGAGACTTAAGACAAGGGGATCCCCTCTCACCATACTTATTTGTTCTTGGGATGGAGTACCTATCCAGAAAATTAAATTCTCTCAAAAATGACAGTCTCTTCAGATACCATCCCAAATGCTCAAAGCTCAAGATAACCCACTTATTTTTTGCTGATGATTTGTTGCTCTTTTGTAAAGTTGATATTCATTCAATAGCTAAACTGAAGGAGTGCCTCTCTTAGTTTAGTAAAGTTTCTGGGTTAGAAACCAATCCAAATAAATGTTCTATATACATGAGTGGCATTGATAATAGTCTAAAGCTTCAGATTTGCTCATTGCTCAATTTTTCTTAGGGTGTTCTACCAGTGAGGTATCTGGGTGTTCCCCTGATCTCGAAAAGACTGTCATGCATGGATTGTTCCCCCCTGATCAATAAGATATCTGAGCAATTCCAATGTTGGCAGAAGAAGAAAGCTCTGTCCTATGCTGGTAGACTGCAACTTATTAAATCAGTTATACTGGGTATCCATCTCTTTTGGACAAGCAACTACATACTGCCAGTCAAAGTCTTAGAGAAAATTGATAGTTTATGCTCTGATTTTCTATGGAATGGCAAAATTCATCTTGTGTCCTGGTCAGATATCTGTCAAAGTAAAAAACATGGTGGGCTGGGAATATATGCTGCTAAATTCTGGAATCAAGCTGCAGCTTTGAAGTTGCTATGGTTGATTCACTTGAAGAAAGACATGCTATGGATTAAATGGGTTCATGAGAACTACCTAAAGCAAACTAGCATATGGCTAGTTCAGGCCAAAGTTAATGACTCTTGGATGTGGAAACAGATAATAAAAATCAGGGATAAGATGATTGGAAAATTTGACAGTGTGACAAATCTGCAGAATATCATTGCAGTGAATTGTTCTAATAGCAAGGTTCATCTTTCCTCTATTTACAATGTGCTTATCCATCAAAATGTACAAGCTCCATGGTATAAAACAGTCTGGGATGGATGGCATTACCCAAAGCATTCTTTTATCCTATGACTTGTCATTCATCAAAGATTGTTAACACAGGAAAGGCTATGTCGCATGAGGGTGCTTGACACAAACACCTGCACTCTATGTTCTCATCAGCAGCCGGAAACTTGCAAACATCTATTTTTTGAATGTGATTATTCAGTTTACATATGGAATAGAGTCATGGACTGGCTGAATTACAAATGGAGATCTTGTTCCTGGGATAATGTTGTTGATTGGTATACCTTGAGGTTAAAGGGTGAGGGATTTATGAAGAAGCTTAAGAGAATGGCTTTGTATGTTTCAGTCTATGCTATATGGCAAGAGAGAAATCGGAGGATCTTCCAATCCATTGCAAGAGGGCCTGAACCTGTTTTTAGATCTGTGAAGATTACTATTCTATCAAAAATTCTAAATGATGACATACCTGTCTATATAAAGGAAAAGATAGAGCATAAGTAAATTTTTCTCTTTCTTTGTTACTTCCAGCAAAACTGGAATGAACTGATGTACAAATTTTTCCAAATTGGTAAATGAATACATATTTTTCATTGACCAAAAAAAAAAGTTACGAGAGGATCAAAATATTCCACTCTAACATGTGAATACAGTATCTTGAGAGTGTTTCTTGCGCAGACTGAAAGTTGCATCGTATTTTGCTTTTTTTTTTTGGTTTTTAGATACTAGGTGGGTTGAACGTGCATTACACGTGGTTAAATATTATGATTTTTTTCTTTTAAGTTCATATATTCATTATAATTGCATTGTGGACATAATTGTTTTATAGGTCAAATTTATTTTGTGGGCAGAAAAATTAAAAAGTATTATAAATAAAATTTGAGTGTTTACATATGATAATACTTAAATTTAAGAGTGAAATGAATAGAAACAATCTACGGAGTCCATGTGAGTCTGGGTTGATGAATGATTGACTGATCCTAGCTATTATATTAATCATCAAATCATTAAAGTTTTTAATTAAGCCCATATATATGTATTTATATATTTATTAATGTATATAATTTATGAGTAAATAGCAACTAAGAATGTATTATAATATATTTAAAATGAACACATATTTCTTCTTGTTAGAAAATTCATTTATGAGCCACATTCACGCTTCTAGATCATCCTGTATATCGATATAAATCCAAAACTACACTATAGAGCATGTCACTAAGATAATAAAAGAAATATATAGATGAAAAAAAATCTCCAAAAGGACGGAGTCTAAATACGAGTTTAAAAAATTACATCATAGTCTAGATAATGTTACATGTGACTCAAGAAAAAGTCTAAACCATATAACTACCTAAACCAACTGAACTGGAGAACTGATAGAATAAACGATGATCACTGTCACTGAGCTTGCTCCTCGAAATACTCTCGGTCCTACGAAGAAAGAATGATCTATGAGTCTGAGGTGCGTAAACCCCAGGGGAGTCAGAAAACTCCCAACAATCATGTAAAATGAAGGAATTGTGTACGTGTAAGTGTATGTAGCAAGTATAAACAAAAGATAAAAACTCAATCAATGGTGATAAAAGAAAATGCTAATTATAGATATCAAACAAGGTCTATCACAAGGCACACAAGTACATTATTATTATTTTAGGTGTTATTTGAATTAGAAAAGAATATTTTCATACATATAAATCGGGTCACTGTAAACCGTCCCGAGAACACGGCTTCAAGTCAGAATTGGCCCTTAGCTCTTATATATATAAATCTAGATATCAAGAATGCGCATGAGCCCACTTATATACACGTTATATTCTCCATCCAAATCCCCTTTACGAACCCCACATTTATTCATTTATTTTAAGTAGTTGTGCATGAAATATTGTTCACTACCCATAGAGTTATCGTGGAACGGCTTCCGTAAAATTTATGAAAAATAACTATGACCCAAAATATGTCCATTCAAGATGGGTGCATCATCTAGTCAATGCTATTATAATAATAGTAATAATTAAGAGAAACTTCTCACATCGGGATATCAATCTCTAGGGTATAGCCATGCTATGATAACACGTTTGTGAATCATATTTCTTGACAAAAGTCGTCTTCATGCACTATCAACCCGATTAAGTATCACTAGGTGATCAAACATAGCATTAGGTGATCCAATAAGCATCAAGAGATCAAACAATATCATCATTCATCTTAACAAAAGTAAAAATAATAATTAGCATAATTGTTTGTGTCAAAGCGGGCCAAAGAGTTTGATTTGATAGCATAGAAATCTATAAAACTGGTTTTAGTGAGCAAAAGGCCCAAAACTTGTCTAGTGTTTTGAGTTATAAATCCAACCGGGTCTGGAAATTTGAGTTTTAGACCCAAATGATCTAGTATTTTAAGTTATAAATCCAAACGGGTCTGGAAATTGATATTGGATTCTAACCGGGTCAAACGGGTTTATAATTTGAATAACCGGGTCAAATGGATTTGTAATTTGAATTATAAACCCAAACGGGTCTAAAAATTTATATTGGATCCTAATCGGGTCGGGTATGAGTTCACAACAGACTCAAATAGCTTTTGAAAAAAAATGAAGGGTAAAGGATTCGAATCTAAGACCTAAGAGCTAATAACCAAGCCCCTTAATCGCTATACCCAAGGGTCCTCTGTCTTAGGACTGGTGCAAGAATTGTTTACATATAATATCAATTAACTATGATTCTACCGAATAAAAAAAAGTAAAAGGATTTATAAAACTTAAATACTCTGTTGTGGCTAATAATAATAATAATAATAATAATAATAATAATAATAATAATAATAATAATAATAATAAGTTTATTACCCAAAAAAGGGAATTTAACAGAAAAGCATAACATAATTACAAGCATTTTAACCATGTATGGACACTATGGAAAGCATAATTAAGATGCCCTACAACAAGCCATATCCACATGAATTGGTACACGTAGAGGAAACTAAACATTAAGAGAAATTCCCTAAATATTATAAATAACAAATTTAAAGTTTGAGAAATTTAAATTTGTTGTTGGGGAAAAATAATTCTCATGTTATAACCAAAATAGTCTCATGAATTAAACATACTTAAACCATCATCAACATATAAAGATTCTAATCAACTACAAGCATAACATACTAGCATTATCTACTGAACATCTATAATTTCACAAACCATGAAAGGATTTATGAAGATAAAACTTTTTGAAAAGAATAGGTAAAGGGGAAAAAATGAAAATATGCTTGCCGATTTGTGTCGAAAAAGAACTCCAAGCTAAGATCCTTTACTCGCCTCCTAAGATGTAGTTGTTTCCCATATTTTCATCTCTTTTTTTTTTTTAATTTTTCATGAGGTTTTCAGAAGGTAAAAAAAAGAAAAATGGTTTAAAGGATATATGCTTGTTGAGGATAGAGTTGGTGGTTAGAGATTTTGTACGATATGAGGGATTTTGTTGTTGAAATTTTAATTTTGATTTTTGTGAAACGTGGTATCATGATAAAAAGAAAAAAAATCGGTTTTCTTATCCACATTCTCTCTTTTTTTTTTTTGAAAAAGAAACCGAAGATATCATAAGGAAAAATAGGTGTAGATAAGTTTAAACTTGTTAAAGGGCTTTGGTTACATACAAATTCTAGTATACTGGGCTATAAGGCGAATTGGGCCTTGGAAAAAAATAAAATTCAAGAGTAAGTTGGGCCTTGAACAATGCTTATCATAAGAAATATGATTGTGGGCCTTGGCTTACATAGGCTTGGGTATTACAAATTCCAAATTCTAATGTTGTTCATTTCTTAGGCTTATTTCATCAAATTTTATAATATTTTCTTACCATTCAGAATCACCCAACTTGCTATGTTTCGTGAAACTTTAATCTTTTTTATAAATTAATAAAATTTTAGTGATTTTTTTGAAGTTTCAGGGTTATCTTTTTGGCAAATTTTGTAACCTCTTAGTGTTTTATTAAATTAAGGACTTTTCTATAAAAACAATTTTATAATCCTAGATTTTTTCTACAAATTTTATAAGATCTAGGTTTTTTTTCTAAATTTTTTTTTTAATATTTTGAAGTCTTTTAGGTTTTCATAAGTTCTATGAACTTTTTCTTAAAATATACAATTTCTAAAAAATCTTTTGGGAATTTATAGTAATTTTGTAAGTTGATTTTTCTTAAAAAATCTTCAAATTATAGTTTTTGAGTATTTCTACGAGTTGTTTAAATTCCATAGATTTTGGATATTTCCTATCTTGGTCACTCACACATAATTAACATTTATCACCTTAATTATGGTAATTTTTTGAGACCATTAATTATGAAGATAATTTAGGAGATGAGAATATTACATAATATGATCTACTCTTTATCTTTGTTTTGGAAATTTAAATATAAAGAAATGAATGATAAGATAAAGAATTCTATTTTATTTATATGTTAGATGCTAGATTTAAATTTCTAGATTATCAAAATTTTAAATTTGTGCGCTTTTTCCACTATATAAATGGGTTGTTTTTTAAGGAAACCATACCTAACTTAGGTCCTATATCACATTACCACCCTTAATTACTTAATTTCTAGAAAACATCGTTATCTATCATTCTGTTGACATAGAACCACCAATGCACTTTTCCATCCAATTCAACAAAATTTGATCTTGACATATTAAATTTCAACAAAATGTAATTTTATTGCCAAATTTTAAGTTAAAATTTTACTTTGATATCCAAAGCTCAACAAATTTAATTTTGATATCCTAACCTAATAAATTAAAGCTAAAGGGCTAAACCATAAAAATATTAATTTTTTTATGGAAAATTGGATCGAAAAAAGCGTGTGTAGTTCTATATTAATGAAATGGTAATTTTCTAAAACATAAGTAATGAATAGTGGTGGCATGAAATAGGGTCAAAGCTATCGATGGTTAAATCCTGCATAAACTTTGTAAGTTTTTAGATTTTCTATTTTATAATTCTAGAGAAGTGGCTAAATGTGGTGATTGACCAATTATCTATAACTTTATATAATTTTTAATAAAATTTCAAAAAATATATATAATTTTTAATATACTTAAATCAAATATGAGCTTATATACATATTAATAAAGATAGAATAAGATAATTAAAGCTTATTAACTAGAGTTTATTGGGATAGGATGATAATGTGATACTGTTATAGCCCATATAAATAACTAAGTGTTAATTTTCATTAGGAGACTGACACATGTCCCGCTCCACTCCTAACGGGACGTACTTAATGACGGATGACTCGAGCTACTCCTGCGGTCGACCTAATAGACTAACAACCTGCATACCCAGCTGAAAAGGCGATGTTTGTTGGCATACCCTCTAGATCGACGCTATGAGCACCTGTATTCGGTCTGTCATTCTAGTCGATAACTTGTGTAGCTGACTAAACAGATGGTGTTTGTCAACCTTCAGTTAGACGACTAGAAGGGCGGTGTGTCCTCGAACCCTTACTTACAACTAA